CTTTTTTTTTAATTTTTGGCTTATGTGAGATTTTTGCCAGAATGCGCCAGAATAGTTTTCAGGAAGCAGGCAAACTGCGCAAAATAGTCAAAATTCCAAGTCAAAATACAGACAGTCTTCTTTCGTGAGTAAGTTTTCCGGGGCGCAAATGACGTCATTCCATAGAAACCTATTTTAAGTTGGCACTCTATCAGTTGACATTAAAATTCCGGAAATCTCCAGGAAATGCCGAGTGGGGAATTTAAATCTTGTCCATTAGAACGTATTGTTCCAAATGTCGACAGGATTTTTAATTGCTTGTCTACAATTGACGAAATGGTGCCAGGAAATGGTCGCGTGTCGTGATTCCTTCGAGGCTTCTTAGAAAATCGGTAAAATTAAAACGTAAAACGAAATTTAATTCCGTATCGTTTTAATTAGCAATTGAAATCTCTGACTTTATAGTTTGTTTATTGATACAGGTTCGTGTTTTTCTCCAATTTTCGTGCCGGTTTATGGACTAAAGGTGATAAATTCCTTCAAAGAAACAGAACAAAGTTTTTTATTACCAAGTTTATTAGGGACATTGTTTTAAAGCCACAGTCTCTGTTTATAATCCCTTACTTTTCGTTTGTCAAGGTATAAGACGATGTTCGTAATGGCTTGAAATTGTTATAATTCCTTCTGTTTCATTTGTCAAGGTATAAGACGATGTTTATAATTTATTCCCTGTATTTGTCAACATTGAATTTGAAATAATTCCAAATGCAAATAATTAGTTTTAAAAAATAAAAAGTACATAAACCATGATAGCTTTAACATGAGCTAAAATTTTCCTTTTAAAAGTTTACATTTTCATTTAAGCTCAAAGACTTATTTAAAAAAAATTATGATACTGATTTTCATAACAAAATTAGTTTTTAAATAATAAATGTAATATAAAATACAGAAATTGCTAAATTTCTAAATTCTGAATTTTAGTCTTTTTATTTTTTTTTGTGGTTGTGAAATTGGCCGATTTTTCAAAAATAAAATTGATAAAGAAAAAGTAATCTCCAATGGGCTTCAAAAGCTTAATAACATCAATAAACCACTTTTGTTCTGTGGTGGTTGCGTACAATTTATTCTCAGATCTAAGTAATCTCAAACGAAACGAAAAAGACTGGGAAATGTTAAAGCGATTTGTTGCGTGAACCATCAAAGGAAGCAATGAACCTTTTTGTTCTGCGTTTGATTAAAATTGAATTACATGAGAAAATCCTGTCAAAATGGGAATTAATTATAACATCAAGGCTACCGACAAAAATAACACAACGAATATTGGTGGTGTTTTTAAAAGAGGAAACGAAATTGATTTGTAATTATATAAAATGACTGTATAATAGACCTGCTTTTATAATTTATTAAATGATTGAACAACACAAAGACAATAAATTATAATGATAACAACAACAACAACAATTTTCAGTTCATTCACAATAGCGTCGCTATGAAACCTAGCATCGATATTGCAGGCAATGTGTCAAGTTTAAACATAAAACTAGGTTTGGTTTTTCGGCCCTCATCAAGACTAAATATGTTTAGTTAAAACCTTCAGAAAACGTAACAGACACAACTAGGCGTTTATTCTGATGATATCCTTTCATAAGATTTCCAACACCTACCAAAATACAAAACAAACTTTTAAAGTTTACGTTAACCTTTTAAATAGTTTTGGCGTTAAAATAAGCTCGGATGTACAGGGTGAAATAATACCGGGAGGGGGGTAAATAGGCCCTTGAAAAATAGTCCACCACCAGAATTATCTTGAAACGATCTATTTTCAATATTACATTCCGGAAGGTATCTTATTCGTTAATCAAGAATGCCGGAATATGTTTTGAATGGTGTACGGTAACAGAAGCAAAGTTTAAACCATCTGGGATATCTTTTTACCTTATTAGGTAATTAATACGTCACTATCACGTGACCAGGTCATTTATAATGATGACGTCATGTCACCTTTTTTTAAAAAGTTGATATAATCAAGACGCAAGTTTCGACTAGATCTCCCAGTGGTGAAGATTCTGTACATGTCTTTGACGACTGGTAGAACCCGACTACAATAACCACGTCTTGTTAATGAGCTGTTTTATATCATATTCCATTTCCCTCGAGATCCAAATCTTCTTTTTAAATGTCCCTGGCGGCCATGATACTTTAATATCGGCCATCTTGTCAATCTGACGTAATAAAATTGACATTTGAAGTAACTGGTTTATTGATGGTTTTATATTAAATTCCAGGCCGGGACAGCTCATGTTTCATTTGAAAACTTTAAGAGAATGTAAAGTGGTTTTCTAAATTTTTCATCTGTATCGGGGACACTGTTAGCATCAATTTGCACCATTCCAATTTTCAATCAGATGTCTGTGGTTCCTGAAATTCTAATAAATTAAAAATCACATGCTTGTTGATCACATTAGGACTTTGCGATCCCTTAACGTCCATGCAACGTAAATATTTTGTGTCAATTTTTCTTGCTATGCCGGAAATTCTTATTGTCTTTAGAGTCGAATATCGTAGGCTGTAAATATTTTTTTTTATTTATCGTCCCGAAGCTGTTTTAAAAGTTCTATACATGATTCGGAATTTTGGTTTAATGAAAATTTGTAGAATGTCATTCAACGAGGACCTTTTAACTAAATTAGCACAGTTGTTGTGAAGGAAGATGTGAATAATTATCTCCCTTTGAGTGATGCATTCAGCCAATCGAACGCCATCTCGTGAGGAACTCTCCTAAAATAAAGTTAGTTAATAAAAAATAATAGCAGTCCCGCGGTAAAAGCAGACCATGTGACTATTTTACGATGTAATATTGACAGAAAATGAAGCAGGAAATGAGTAAAAAGAGGATTGAATTCTATTTATTGTACGATATTGGATTTGTGTTTGTTTTAGAGAGAATCTTGGGAAACAAAGCGGTTTTATATTAACTTCTTTTTTTCATAAAATCACGAAAACTTTTGTAGAAAACTGGGTCAATTTTATTTTGGTGTTTACTAACATTTCCAATTTTCCATATTTGTTTCAAGAGCTACAAAAGAGCGAATTACTGTTATCAATTGAAGGAAAATTTGCCATATCTTGACAATGTCATACTATTACGAACTGTATCTTATAAGGTATAAAATTGCAATAGCCATCATTTTGTATAAGAGAAGTTTCTAAATGCAGCGATTTGATTGGCTTGTAGGCTACCGAATATTATACACCTCCGATTACACAAGAAGCCAATTGTTCACATTCTTTCTGTTCTTTTTGTTCACGAGGTTCTGATTGGCTGTATTTGGTAGCGTACAATTCAATAAAATCACTGCATTTACTTTCATGGCTATTACGGTCAAGGTATTAGACGTAGTGTATAATAGCTTGACATTGTGAAGAGTTGGTCATGTAAAAATCGTAATTATATAATGGAAGATGACAATATATATTACGTGTTAGTTTCTCATTATAGTAATAGAAAGGAAGCAAGTTGCAGTCAGGATGGAATTGTCCCCAAGATTGGTGGAAACATGAAATTAATTACTAAATTGGACCAAGAGACATTAAATAATATTTATGGTTCGACATGAAATGGATTTTCGGGTTTTTATCATTTTATCATGTAGTTAATAGATTTTTTGGGTAAAAACACGTGTTCTGATCAATATTCCAATTCATCATTCGGCAATCCTCGGCAGTTTCCGTAAACTGAATCTGTTGCAGAGCGCTAACAGGACTTACACGGTAGATCGTTTGCCGATTCCTCTGCCTAAATGACTATACTTGTGATAACGAGGGGCTTTTCTAATTACAGAAAGCTGAAATATTTCATTTTGTATATCATTTGTAATCTTCACAGAGTCTTTTATTTTCAAAATTGAGGCATCATACCATCTTGATAGATTGAAACTGAATATTTTAATTGTACTTTACTTGTCTTAAGACAAAATAATTCTGTCAAAAAAAAAGAAATATCACTAAGTCTCATTTTAGAGTAATGTCTATTTTAAAACGACTCGATAGTTATACACGGGGTCAAATACAGTAATACTATCTAACCGATAATTTATATTAAGAAAAGTGAATTCAGGAAAATAAATGGATATTTTCTGAAATAACTTTTTTTTTTCCCTGAAAGAACCGAGACTATAATCAGAGAAAAGGCTTGACAAGTCATCCGAGGTCACGCATTTAATGACGTTTTAGAACTAAAACACGTTTCAATATTCCAAAACATCTGGCAATGGAACTAACCTTGTAACCAATGAAAATCGATCATTTATATTCAATTTCTGGTGTGAAAGTTCAAACATTACGTTCTCCAGAAAATCAGTAGAAATATAAAAAAAAAGCTTTGAATTACCATTCAAGTCAAATTAAGTCGTATTCAGCTCGTGTTAGCACGACCTATAGATGCAATGAACCTCGTTTTAACCACAACTAATCTGTGAAATATGGAAAGAGGGGTGATAGAATTTAAATAAAATAGCCATAAAGGCTCACGAGGCTGTTAGATCTTAATAACTCACAAATAATAGCTGGTTATTTAATGGTTTTTGAGGTTTAAACATGTGTTTTATGAAACACTTTGGAATTTTTTTCCTTTACTCCTAATCGCCTTGATTATTATAACAAATTTTACATGTCTTCGTCAACTGATGGAAATTCTCAAAGCATGGAGTCTTCAAAGCAAACATCCAAGTGGAACACATAAACTTCTTGGTTCTTGTATTAAAGGGATTGTAAAGAAATTTTCCAAACTTTTTATGTGTATCGGGGACACTGTTTGCATCAATTTGCACCATTCTAATATTCAGTCAAACATCTGTGGTTTTTATTATTCCAATAAAACTAAGACCTTTGCGACAGGAACGTCATAAAACTCTTACTCTTAGTGGAATTGCAGGAATCACAGACATCTGAAAATTATAATAGTAGTCACCCTTGTTAAATTTGGATTCCTCTTTCTCATTTCAGGTCTTCCTAACAATGACGTCAACAAAACAGAAGGTCCAGTATTCCTCCTTGCCGTCCCCGAAACTGTGGCATTCGCCGATAGTAAAGGGGCGTCAATATCCTGTACTGCATTTGGTAGGCCAGCTCCTGAACTGGATTGGGTTCAAGTGGATGGATCCCCCGTGGAAGAGGTTTCCGGATTACTCGATATTCTGCCAAACAACACGTTATATTTCCCGCCATTTGATTCGAGCCAGTTCGCACCCAGCATCCACAATACCCAGTATCGTTGTAAAGCCAAGAACGTGGTTGGAGTAATCTTATCAAGAAACGTAACCGTACGCGCCGGTAAGTGTGCTCTTTTTTAAGAGGCTGGGGAGAGAGGAGCACCTGTAGCTTTTAAGTATCATAAAACTATTTGTAATATAAATTCTTACAAGCAAAACAGTTTCAGTAACCAAAAATCTTGTCTAAAACATGATAAAATCAGGAGTAATAATAGTATGGTAGAGGACTCCTGAAAAGAGAAATACCATCAGGTGTTTCGAAACACCTAGAAAATAGCTGGACAAGATAATTTAGAACGATCTTGTAACAATCTTACCACACTCACATTATAGTGACGTATGTGGCAGTAGGCAATAACTTCTGAATTGTCAGCATCTACCATCTTGGCCTACAGTAACTTCAGAATTTGTAGAGGAATGAACAACTTGTTCTACAATCTGTAGAATATCAAATTGTAGGCGTAATTCTACTTCGTTTTGAATTCCAACCTGCTGTTTCCTTAATTCATCCATTGATTTAAAATATCACACAAACCAGGCGAGTTCCTGGTGTTTTCCCGCCACAATTACTAAGATGGCCGCCAATAATAACGCCATTGGGATTATTAAGTAATCACGTGTTTTCAAACTCTGGGATTCCTTTTTGATTTTTCCTCTGATGAAATGTTGGCAGATGGCTACAAAATATCCATTTAATCCGATCGATTGTGGACTGTTACACACAAATACCCATTACTTTGCCTTTATAATTATACTAAAACGCAAAAACACGGGATTAAACGTAGAATATGGACGCGATCTAACGACCATACAGGTCCCACAGAGACGTAATATGTTTAGAGAATGTCGATTGAGGCAGGTTTTAATGGTGATTACAAGATTTCGAGTTATTCCAGCGGAAATATCTTTCTGACTTTCAAACTGTTTGACATTTTTTTTTTCGAGAATTTTTTCTACTTCTCACATAACCTGCACAAGACAATTTTCGAATTACTAGAATCAGCCTTATCTCAGAGACTTTAGTTTAAAAGTTATTTAGATTGCTTCTTTTCATTGAAATGATATTATATCGGTTGTTGTTTTGACTTCCCTGCTCTAAGTTCAACCGTATTTGTTGCAATTTTTCTTCTGTATGGTCGAACTGAAAACAATCGTCGAGGTAACTGAAATAAGATTGAAACCGAATATCTAGATATCCGGCGATTACTTACGCAGGCGTTTCCATTCGCTGGCCAATTCGCTTGTCCCGGTTTGGCGTATTTTGTCGGGCTGTTGGCGTGTTTAAATTAATCGGAAGTTGATATCACATGATCGACGAGAAAATTCCAACGAGTGGTATACGATCTTAAAATTCGCTGCGTATGCTCATTGGAGATAGAGCGAAAAAATTCACTCGTCTTCCCTTAGCGTAAAACCGTTAAATAACAAGCTCTGGATTTACTTCAAACCCCCGCCATGCTGCTAAATTCGACATATACAAAATTCATGAAGTTTGTTTCACAAAAATCGTTTAAGTGACCTGCCATGTATATTGATAGAATTAAATGAAATTTTAATTAACAGGAACGTTTGACGGACAGTTCATTACCGCTAGCAGTCCTTCACATAATGCAACTCATCAAAATTTAAACCCCATTAAACGATCTGCATTGTTTTCAGTTATTCATTCCATTATGCAGGAACATTCCAAGTTTGCTTTGGTTTTGAAATATAAAAAGGAGATATTTGTGAAAAGCCATATTTGAATAATAAATGAATGGAGTAATTGGCTATGTAGAGAAATCTTTACTGAATATATTGATAAAATGACATATTACATTGTTTTCTAAAATATGAAATTTGTTGCATATCTAAGTGCATGAAATTACAAGATATAGAAAATACAATTGAAGGTCGACATCAGGTGTACTTGAAATTTTTAGCTACAGAAATGTCATAAATACGAAATACAAGGGTCTTTACCGGTAATAATTATAGTGTTCCAGTCATCTGATTGGCCAATCAGTAAAATCGATTTTAAATTTCGTTTTATTATCCAATCAGATGATTGTATTTCTTAAAATGTAGATTTTTTTATCAGTTAAGTTTTCTAGAATACTTCCCCAGAATATATTTCAGGAAACACGGTCGGTTTTTTTTTTCAATGAAATCGGCCAAGATGATTGAGTTTAGGTAGTAAATTTCGTCGACTTCATAGGAATAACCTAATCCTTGTATTAACAAAAGCAGTAGATCCAATAAACATTGCGTAAACGGAACAAATATCAAATGATTTAAATTAGCAAAGATGATTTTGAACCATTGGATTTTCAAGAAACGAAAGAAACGCCAAAAAACGCCTTAATTTCCAAAGAAGTATTTTTTATGAGTCGATCAATAAAGCGGATATAAAAGGTCAAGATAGAAGAGGAAGGGTGTAATCTGGTAAATTGGCTATCAATGGAATCAAGGAGTTTTAGAAACAGTTATTTAGCAGATGTCATCATTGATTGGGATGATAATAAGATGACGAGTCAAATACTATAGCTTCTAACTTTTTGATATCCTATAAAATGGCAGTACCTTCCAGCTCGGTCGCTGCCTCATGCTGATATGGTCAGTGGCGGGGCCTGCCTGCCAAGACTGGGGATACAAATAAAATAGGGGGACAACAAGTGACGGAGTGAGGTTTACGTCCGAGGGTGAGGGGGGGAGGGGCAAATACCTGAGGTTGCCCGAATTTCTAACCCTGTTAGGATATTTTTGCCCAAATAACATGCCTTTGGGGCTACGAGGGGGACAACTGTCGTGTTTGAAATTTAAAATGCGGCAACTCTGTGGAGATGTCATTGTCTCGATCTCTTGGAGCGTCTGAAAGGATTCTCCCAAGAAAATTTCGAAGAATTGAATTGATTTGTTGTAATCCGCAACGTATTTTGGGTGGTTGTTAAGGGCGCTGCCACTGGACATAGTCGAGATATTCTGACTGCTGGACTTCTAAGCTGAGGACATCCAACCTTCCAACAACTGATCTAAATTTATCCTTTCTGTTGCTGTGCAAGACGGCCAATTAAAGACTCTATTGTGGAAAGACATGGTTTGTTTTATCGTATCCTCGGGGGAACCCAAGTCGTTTACGTTAAAACCATCCAACTCATATCGCTTTGACGATATTAACTGCTAAAATCCTCAACTATATTGGTTTGGTGTGTCTTGAGGCGTGAAACACTGAATTATATTTCAAATCTGCTTTGATTGCCTCCTTTACAGTGAGTTATTGCGCGAGAGGGCATTATGACAGTGTGGTTATGAGATATAACCAAGTAGAATCCTGTTATATAATTTAGCTTTAGGGTGTTACTAAGATACCAATTAGTGAGAAATTAATTAAACCTTTCTACCATCTTCAAAACGTAACCGCTAGTTACCAAACCGTTTCCAGGGCTGAAATGTTTCCAACCCAATCATTACTCATTGAAACAGACGTAGGTTATTATCAGTCGAGGATAATCTAACAGTAGTACAAGCAACAAAATGAACATTTTGGAGAGGGGGGGGGGGGCTGAGGGGGGGGGGGGGGGTCATCAAGCAATATGACCCTTATTAATCCATTGCAGCATCTCAAGCTTTATAAAGTGCATCAGCTAAACACGTCTAAAATATTTTCTCAGGAACGTCAGTGGCAGCCATTTTTGTCATGTTCTTGACAGAAACAATCAGTTTTGCTTCGTGCTTTAACTATAAGCAAGATGTATAATCTTCTCGATAAAACAGACATGATGCACATTAATGTTTCTTTTTCGAAGCATTACTCTAACGAATCAATCTATTGGTTCTCAACATATCCCACAGATAACGTGCATGTCTGATTGTAACGACGACATTGATTGGTTGTCGAGTGGTTTCATGGTGACAGAGCACGTGCTGCCAACAGAGGAAACAAGCTTTTAGATTTCTTTCCCCACTTGATTCGAGATAACAAACGAATCTTCATTGATTTTTGTGGACTCGGAGTTCAACTTGTTTCTTCATTTCATGTTGACAGCCGATAAAAAAAAATTACACCATATGGGAATAAATCTTCTGCCGGAAATGGCGTCATTGCAACTGGAAACCATCGACGTAGTCCCACTTCCGGTTTTTTATTTTCTGACATGCGTAATTGCACGTTAAGTGATTTTCTGTGCTGAAACCCACAATTAGAAAGGAAACGGTTCTTTGTGAGAAAGAATCGATTTTAAAAGGGTTTGTCAATAAAATTATGAAAATTGGAGATGATTTTAGTTAATGTCGTTTGAAATGATGTGCTGGGTGCCCGAGGATAAAAGAAAATCGTTCAAAGTTCTCCATTATCTACTTTCAATTCTGCTTTCTTTGCGTAATAGAGAGAAAACATCCATTTACAGCAAGCCCTGAAAACAAATTATTCTAAATAAAACTATTTGGTACTTGGAAGATGAAAGATCGAAGACTTTTTTTCCCTTCTTTTTATGTTTTCGTCACCATGTGTGATAAACCTTTTAGGAGAACAATGGGAGATAATAGGTTACATAACACGGCTAATTTTACTTCTGCCAGGGTTACATTAAAAGCAAATTTGATCAATGGAACGTTTTAAATTTTCTAAGACCTTTCCTTGATTATATTGGAAGGCATAATTATTTCTAAAGTGCTTGATATTTAAAATAGAAACGTTTGCAAGTGAATTGACCCTCGCAATTTCAAAATTTGTAAAACCAAAGAGCTTTCAATTTATTTCATGAAAATCAAATTGTAAACGTCTTATTTGATTTTAGAAAGACTTCTAATTCAAAGGAGGAATATTTATCCTGCCCGCAAAGCATTTTATACCACGACCTTGATCTTTAAAACCAGTTTCAAATAATGTTCTAGGTATATTTCTGGGGTTCACATTACTCACTCAAGATCTTACGACATTTCTAATAAAGTTGTGTCTACTATCTCAGCCAATCAAATGCATTGAAAGGCTTGGCAGACCTTCAGCCTCAAGGGGTTTTGGTCCTTACGGTCTCGCTTCGGACCCCCTCATGCATTATCTAGACACCCCTGATTTCTCAGTGAAGCTTACAACACTACTATATGCATTAAAACCTGAAATATTTTATTGCAGTATTAGTTGACCAGTATAAGAATTATAATGTTCAACTCAATGATAAATGGGTCATGGAAGGAGCAACTGCTGTTCTTAAATGTGTTGTCAATCCGTATTATGTTAAAGATTACGTTCAGGTGATTGGTTGGACACAACGAAATCATCCAATCGTTGCAGGTAATTAGAATTTGAAAATTTGAATTTCCGAATGTATCAGCTTGAATGAATAGTCGGTAAATAGTTAGTTCATTAGTTTGACCACATTATCAGAACCTCGTTCCTCATGCATCTCTTAGAAAGCGTAGATGTGGTTACAGCAACCATAAGATGGAGGATTGCCTGGCTTGTTATTGGGCACCAGTCGGCAAAGATGACAAGCCATTACTATCGTTCTGGTCCCATTACACATGAGAGCATTTTCGCCAACAATCTCGACCATTCTAAGAAATTTGGTTACTTATAGAAATCACCTTTGTTAGTCGGGTACAACTGCATACAAATGTTTAAAAATTGTTCCATTTTTAGGTGGTAGGATAAGTATTTTACCATCCGGAGAACTTCATATTCGTGACGTCAGAAAGGCTGATGGACTTGCCATGTATTCGTGTAGATCTAAAAATATCCTGACCGGTGACGAACGAGGAAGTGCCTTTGCTACTTTACATGTACACGGTAAGTACTCTTGTAAAAACTCTGAAGGAGCTGACATGAAAATCGGCTGGTCGTTAGGATGGGACAATAAACCTTAATAGCCCATAACGTTCATTTCTTTTCTTGAGGTAGATAACGATGACAAACGAAAGCCCTTGGTTCTATGTTAGCCTCAGAACATGGTGTTTGAACTGCATGGAATGGAAAATGTGCGCTTCGTGCGGCATATGCTTTGTTTCGTTATGCACGTGCATTTAAATTGGGTCATACTACGATATCATTTCAGATCCGCCTGCCAGTGACACCAGACCAACTATAGATACATTTCTACCGGAACTGACGTTAAGTGAATCCAGTACGGCGGAACTACCATGTGTTAGCAGTCAAGCTTTACCCTACCCACAATACACCTGGAGTAAAAATGGAGTTCCGGTTATGATAGACAATAACCGAGTCTTACAAAATGGCGGCAATTTGATGATTAAAGATGCCATTACCAAGGACAGTGGAGATTATAAATGTAACGCAACCAATCGTCGTGGAACGGAGACCATTTCAACACGACTTACCATAACCTGTAAGTAAATAACCTTTGCTGTGTGATTCAAGATATTGAGAAGCAGTGCATCGAGCGCACATTTACTCACAGATTTTGGCATTGTATGAATAAAAAGCCTGCAAGCGAAGCATCAAACTTTCATTTTAGACGCAAATTGTCACATCGCATATCACTTCAAAGGCCTGTAATTCCTTTGTAATGTAATAAATTAAAAACTTCTATATTTTATGTTCCAGCTACCCTTTCTGCTATCGTTTCGCCACCAGAACAAACAGTCGATGCTGGATTGACGGCCACATACAACTGCAGCACTTCCGGTTATCCAATTAATAGTGTCACGTGGTATAAAGATGGAAAACCATTGGTTGTTGATGAAAGAGTATATATCCTAGCGGACACGACTCTCATCATTCGTGACGTCAAACGACAAGATCAGGGAATGTATCAGTGTTTTTTAGCCAATCAGAAAGAAGTTACACAAGGAACTGCGCAGCTAACTCTTGGAGGTAAATGCAGACGTTTTGTAATTTTTGTTTTTTGAAGCGAAACAGAAAAGTGTCTCTGGCTTTTTGAGCTAGCTCATTAATCGACGCTTTGTAATTTTGTCTTTTGCGCTTAACAGAAAACATACTTTAGCTTTTTGAGCTGGCTTATTAACCCTACGTCGTATTGTGGCATTCATATTTGGAAATTCGTGAAACGGACGAAATCTGAGACATTTCTGAATATCTTTTAAAAATATTTTCCCATTAAAACACTTTTCAACAACAACAGCATTTCTGTGGTTTCGCTGAAACACGAAGCCAGATAAATATTTTGAAGGAACTTGGGTTATTTTGCCTTAAAACACCATTTTCGTTTGAAGAGGTCGTTGTAAGAGTTTTCTATTAGTTAACGGAAATAAACGAACACAAAATTAATGGAATGTTTTGTTTGGTTTTATTACAGCTGCTAAACCAACCATTTTGGACTCCTTTCAAGAACAATTCGTTAAAAATGGCCAACAAGTTTCGTTACGATGTAAGGCTACGGGAAACCCTATTCCTGCCGTGAAGTGGCGACTAGATGGTGCAGATTTACCGCTTGATGATCGAATCAAATCCAACACCATCACAACCCTGGACGGTTACGTCATCAGCTTTGTGAATATTTCCCGCGTTAAAGTTGAAGATGGTGGGGAATATAGTTGCCATGCGACCAGTGATGTTGGTTATGCTGAATATATGAACAGACTCAATGTATATGGTGCGTATTTATGTCATCTTAAGCCACATTCTGAAGTATGAAGTCCACCATTATGGACGCCAAAAAATGCCAACAATATAGGGCCCACCATTTAAAAGCAGTAATATTGTCGTAGGGGTTCATAAACTTGCCAAATGTTTAAAACAAACGTTGCCCTTACTCGCAAGCGTTCTTGCTGAGGACCGCAGGTCCGATATTGCTCGCAAGCCCTAGTTTGTGTTGGAATTATCGACTTTAAGAAGACAAAATGTTTTACGAAAAAATAGAAACTATATTTTGATAGATTTTTCAGAATTTCAAATAACCTAGTTTATAAAATCCTCGCGGCTCGTTCGTATTTTTGTCCACAGAAAGCCTCATTTCCCCTCTTCTCTTTGGAATAAAAATTGTGGCATCGACTTTCAGGGGCCAGAAACTTCTAGAACTAAAAGAACTTCCATTACTTTCACCGCCATTTTGTTGCCAAGGGCAGGAATCAAAGGAAATGCTTATTTCAGGTTTCCATTTTACAAAAGAATTGTTTGTGAAAATTAATGGCATAAGTCTTTGCTCTGAAGGGAAAAATAATGGAACCTGACGCAAATCTCCACAAAATAGCATTAATTAGACTTTTTTTTTCAAAAACATGGCATTATCGTTGAGAATTATGTTTCTAATGACGAAACAGGGAGTTTTTAATGGTGTTAAACACGCAATTTTAGATTCTGTTACATTTAATATCTTTTTTTAAATGGGCAATACAGAAAATAATAAATTTACATCATATTTTTGTTTTTATGTCGGTTTACATTAATATCGAATACCTTGAGCATGTGATTTGGGATAAAGGTTTCAGTAGCGTTTCTAGAAATGTTTGGGTAGGGTACCGTCAAAGTAGGGGATAAAGAATTGCAACGCGCAGTTCAGCTCCTATGACTGACTCTTTATATTAGATGTCGAATGGTAAAAATCAAACCATAAAAATTTGAAAGAATCTCTCGCCAATATCGATGTTTTTTTGTTTAATTTTCGACAAGGGCGTAAGATCTTTTGTGAACCTCAAAATTATTTTTTTTATCTATGTCTAAACCCCAAAGTCTTAAAACTATCTAGTCTCAGTTTTGAGAAAACTTCCAGTTGAAAAATCAAGAAAAAAAGTTTTCAAGTAGTTGTCAGAATGACATTCATAGAGATAAAAGTAATTGAAAACTGCAATTAAAGTCGAAAAGAGTTAAATTTTACGATAACATTTTTTAAATTAAATTTTCTATCTGATTTCGTTCTGAACGAAATCGGATAACATCAGAGTTTAGGATTGCACGTAAATTTTCTCTCCATAATTTTCAAGCACATTAAAAAGAATCTGTCAAGTTTTAAAAGCATGAGTCACATGTCTTTTATTGATTTTAACCTGTTTCAAAGTTCAGTGGTTACATCATCTTGGAGAATTTACATTAAAACTGTTGCTAGGGCTGTCACAGTAGGTTGATTTGTAACATGGTCTAAGGGGAGTAACTCTATTTAAGGATCTCGGTCTTCTTTATCCAGTACTTATTTTCTTACAGCGATTTCTCTATAAAATTACGTCATGTTAATCTAGACTTTGTTTACATCAAGATGGCGGACTTTTCAACAAAATTGATTTTAATGTTTACAGTTTTTATCCCAATTAATGCCAAAATGGCCTATTCCAGGTATCCCGTACATCAGACCGATGCCGAATGTGACGGCTACAGCGAACATGAAGTTGTCAATTCGTTGCTATGTGTCTGGTTATCCTGTCAACACAATAAAATGGTACAGAGGTAAGCTCGTTTTCGTACATTTCTGCTAACTGCAAAGCATAATTCCTGACAATCAGTATGAAATGCATCGATTGAAGAAACATTCCTCTATCGGTCAGATCCAGGTCTCCATATAACAACAAAACCAGCCTGCAGCAGCCGCATTGTCTCAGTGAGATAGACACTTGCTAGACAGCATGATAATACAGTGTTTAATCCCAGCATATGTAGTCTAAGAGAGTTGTTAGTTGGAGATATTGAGATGAGTCTCAATGAAAGCACAGGTCTAGGTCACAGAGCAATAGATAAGCTTATTAATTAAAAGAATATTTAGATGTTAGAATGATGCTTGGTGTATTTTAGATGGTCACATGTTACCAATGAATCATCTCCAGAAAGTAGAAGATGGAACCCTGATTATAGAGAAGGTCCAGAGAAATTATGATGCTGGAAGATATACTTGTCAGGCCAAAAATCACGAGGGACTTGGAATGACTCAAAGTGTCTATGTCACTGTTGTTGGTATGTAAAGATTTTAAATATTTTGTTTAATAAAGGTCCCAAATTATTTACAACTGAAGTGAATGGTTAGGTTATTAATCAATGACACGGTTTGACAAATTTCTTATTGTACTCAAAAGAAACCTCAAAGGATAAAAAAAAAACCAAGTAGTAACAATCCGAACTGCAAAACGCAACTCAAAATCCAAATAACTTATTGGCAAAACATTAGTAACAGCTAATGAACTTTTCATTTGAGGAAGTATATCAATCATAAATGAAGAAATATTTCATTAGGAATTATTCTTTTCTGTAGTAAGACCATTTTAAATTGTTTTCTTACAGAGCCACCAGTTGTAGATGAGTTTAGTTTTGGTTATCGTAAAGAAGGAGATAGAATAATGATATCATGTGTTGTGAGTAGTGGAGACCTACCTATTACTATTGGTTGGTACAAAGACAATAATCCTATACCACATGATCTAGGGGTTGTTATACAGGTAAACTAACTTTTTACATCAATATTCTGTATTTAGTTCTTGAACAACTTTCTCATTCATATGACAAGATAAAAAAGAGTATACTACTTATGTGTATCGGGGACTCTGATAGCATCATTCCAATTTTTTTTCTGAAGTCTGTGGTTCTTGCGATTCTACTAAAACTAAGTGTATGATGACGTCAGTATCGAGCTTTAGCTTTTGCTATTTATCAAAGGGTTTTATTCAAACAGACAGCAGTATTGCTCATACGGTCCTTCACAGTGATCATTTCTCATTTTGTATTGTCCTATATATTTGATATTTTTTATACACTCAACTTTCTCAAGTAAATTATTTGCTATTTCAGTGTTCACACAAATATTTTTAGAAGATTGCTAAGGGTTTTATTGTTTTTTGATTGATATTCGCTCTCTATTTCAGACTATTGGTCCATTCTCTAGTCTCCTATCAATAAGTGACGTTAGTCCGAGACATAATGGTAATTATACATGTTACGCCAGTAACGCTGCAGCTTATACTAATTATACAGCTCCATTACATGTTCAAGGTGAGACATTATTTAAAATAGGAGTTATCCATGGAAGGGAAATGGGGTTATTTTCAGGGTAATGGGATGCTTTGTAGCATAAAATACAAAAAAAGGTGGCTATAACAGTCAAGGTATAAAATACAATTCATAGTAGCTTGACATTGTTAATTTAGAAATTTATAGGGGTGGTAATGAGATACAAGAAAATTAGTTACTGCAGTCAAGGTATAAGACACAGTTTGTAATAGCTTGATATTGTGAAGATGCCCACATAAGGTATCAATTGATTTATGATATAAATGAATGGTGATATAATGATTATTATAATGATATATATTATAATGAATTTGGTCTACTTATGGTTTTTTATTAACAAAAAATTCGAATTTTCTATTTTTCCAGTTCCACCACGTTGGGTAATTAAGCCACAGAATTCATTTGTTGTTCTTCATCAATCCGTCCAATTAGATTGTCAAACAGCAGGCACCCCTACCCCTGTTATTACTTGGAAAAAGGCAGCAGGTGAGTTAGTGGTATAACAACATGTTGAGAGTTCTGTGTCGATTCTTTCTGTCATAGTATGGCCGGATTTGGAGTGCTTTGATTGGTAAGATTAGCCACGGTGGCTCAGTGAGTTAGATGCTAGACGTTTGCTCACTAACCTGACGTTCCAGGTTTCAATCCAACATAGGTCAAGATAATATATTTTGATTTCCCCCATCAGTATTGTAAATAGTTTAGATGAATTGATGTTAAAGTAATTTTTTCTTTGTAGACACCATGTCACCTGATACATATGAAACAATATTTTTTGATCCTGAGGACCAGAATATGCAGTTAATGGAGAACGGAACATTGTTTATTAAAAACGCTCGTGAATCGGAGCACGGTCATTATTTATGTCAAGCAAGTAATGGTATTGGATATCCTATTAGTCACAGAGTATTCCTTACTGTTAGAGGTAAATAGCTTTGGTATTTTTTCCATGGCAAATTTCACTCTTGACACTCATTGCAGGGCTGTGGATTTGCCCCTCTTTCCCAGACATGACCAACAGGGCAGTTCAAAGTTCATTGTGTCTGGTATTAAAATTTGTGCCAAGAATATTATAGATGCAATAATGAAGAAAGATGACTTACTCAGGAGACTTGTCTCAAAAGCAGGAAAAACACCAACCCTCACACAACACTGTCAAAGTTTAAGAATTAACATATCGAGTGTTGTAAATTGATCATGATTTATCTAATAATGAGTAATTTCGTTGTATTTAGTGCCGGCACGTTTCGACGCACCTCAGAAGAACTATACTGTATTAAATAATCATAATATAACATTAGAATGTCAAGGTATAGGTGATAAACCATTATCTATAACGTGGAGTTTTAAAGGTAGTCCAATCAGTACTAATGGTAATAAACGGTGAGTTACGAATGACTTAATTTTTATATTCTGCCAAAAATATAGAAATAGAAAGTGAAATTCCTAGTTGGAGATCTTGTTGAAGGAATTTTTGTGCAATTTTTGTGCAGTTCTATTACTTCTGAAGACAATTTCCATATATTCAAGACTCAAATCAACCCCCAAATTGGCAAATCATGGCCTTTAAAGGCTGTCATTAGTGTAGAGATGCAAAGTAATTTGTGTGAAAATTTCAGCTTTCAAATCCATGAATGTTCAGAATCAGCCGTGTTTGAAAGTTAAAATGATGACTCATCTCGAGTCTCTGCCATTTAATCAAAAGTAATTTTGTGTTTTGTGTTTTTTCAGAGCGAAAGTTGTCAGTCACGATACGCCACGTGGTAAATTATCTCAACTTTCTCTTCAACCTGCTAACAGATCAGATTCTGGTTTCTACGTCTGCAACGCTAAAAATAAATTCGGTCACGATGACCTGATGATACAGCTAGTAGTTATAGGTAAGAATTGGCAATAACTTTTCCCTTGGGCTTTCTGATAGATTTCCTGAATTTGATTTATATGCTGTGTTTTTTATATCTGAAAGTTTTGAAAAGGTGCACTCACACCATCGCGATTACCAGTTGTGAATGGTAATAGCATGGTCTAAGATATAATTTGTACCAAATAAACATTCCCCTGCTGAAATCCAAGACTTTTTAGATTAAGTAAAATATATAGCACTGTATTTGTTAATTTTACAGAGCCACCAGAACCACCTAAAGAAGTCAGAATCATCAATACAACAAGTCGAGCTATAACGTTGTCATGGAAACCACCATATGATGGCAATAACCCAATTATAGCTTATACAGTACAATTCAGGAACAATTCAGGTGAGTAAAAAGTTTGTAAAAAGCTCAAGTATTAACGATAGGAACCGCAAAACCTAAAATCCAAATCAACATACTGGCAAAACATTGGCTGCAGATAATGAACTTAACACATCGAATTCCTCAAATTTTTAACCCCTATATGAATTCTTTCTTTTTTTCAGGAGTGTGGCAAGGAACTCTGGCTAATGTAACAGTACCAGCTGGTCAACATAGTGTAACACTAGAGGAATTAAAACCATCGTATATCTACAATATACGAATAATGGCTAATAATAGCGTAGGATATAGTGTACCTAGTCCAGATCAAGTAGTCACAACTGAAGAGGAAGGTATGTAACTCTAACTGTCTAAAACATAGTCCAGATCAAGTAGTCACAACTGAAGAGGAAGGTACATAACTCTCGCAGGCTTAAACCATCCTGCATCTACATTTTAGATTCTACAACATACACATAATGGCTCAATAAAAAGTTAGAAATCTGTTAACTCATTATCTTTCACCAAATTTCATTGCCACATTTCTTGTTCTTCTTTAATGGAATTTTAACATTTTCTAATTTTAGCCCCTACTGGTCCACCGGGAAATGTGGTTGCTAAGGCGATAGGATCTCAATCGTTGCAGGTCACATGGGAGGTAGGCAATGTTGTTTATTAGAATTATTACAGAGCTTCGTTAAGAGAATGTAGGTTTTATAGCCACCTTTCGTGTATCACAAATCGCAGAAATTTGGTTGGATTGTACGCCAGTGAATATAGCCAATCATAGCCCTGGATGGAAAGGCTGTAAACATTATGACTTATTGTTAACAGACTTTTTGTTGAGGGCTCTGAGTGGCTGTATTGGCTAACGTACAATCTAATGAAATCGCTTCATTTACAAACTTCCATGATACAAGAAAGGCTGCTTTTGTAGTCAAGGAATAAGACAAAGTTCATAATAGCTTGACATGAAGATGAACAGAAGGGTATAAAACTCTATTCCATTTCCTTTATTGCAGTCCCCAGCCGATGGTTATGTGAATGGTAAAATTCTAGGGTATTACATTGGCTATAAGGAGACCAATAGTCCCTCCCATTTTATCTACATTACGCAAACAGTGGGTGAAGACTTCCAAGCCAAGCATACCATCCATAACTTGAAGAAGTTTACAGAATATACAGTCCATGTTAAAGCGTACAATGCCAAGGGAATCAGTCCAGCTTCTGATAACATACAGGTCTTCACATTAGAAGATGGTGAGTTAAATTTAGGTGGTGCTCGATGTATCAATTCTGGACAGCTTTGGTCTGTTTCAATTCTGGCCTCGAGCAAACTGTACAGATATGTCAAATTCAAAATTTTCCCTTCTTTTCTTTCTCAACCATCTTTTTGCTATATTTCAGCAGATGTGGAATGCGTTCTTAACTCTGTTCAAACTTGTATTATTGAACGTTCTGTTGATTCCATGATTCCTGAAGGTGCAGAACTCACCAATGGAGGGAATAAGTCATCTGTCATCATGGAAAGATCATGCCAAGTTGTTCACCAACCAGCTGGTAGAAAGGATCTTTAACTGTGAACCTAAGTTGTTATACTTGTAAAATATAGTTGTGCTTGTTTTATAATTTCAGTACCGAGTCAACCACCACAGAATGTTCAAGCCAATCCAGTTAGTTCGGTAGCTATTAGAGTATTATATGCCCCACCCCCCCTGTATACTCTACATGGTATATTGCTAGGCTACAAAGTTCTTTATAAACCTGTTAGAAATGATGAAGGTCAGTTGAAAATTCATTTTAATGTGTATCTCATTTTTGAACTTACTCAAAACCTAATGCCAGCTGTCCGTCAAAATATCATAAAAAAAAACACCCTAATGGCAGAATTAATGTCAGAGCTGTGTGTTCTATATTTGTTTATGAAGTCTGTAACCATGGTTACTTGGTATTTCAGATGAAAGTGATGCTAGTTTTGTAACAACAGATTCTATGGAAGCCATGTTGTATAAACTAGAGAAATATACAAACTACAGTATACAAGTCTTGGCCTATACTCGGAAAGGAGAGGGTGTACGCAGTGAACCTATTTACGTGACAACACAAGAAGATTGTAAGTTCTTAGGTTTTATATTCTTTTCTTTTCACATCGATAAAAACCCTAGTACTAAACCAAACTACAAAATGAAAACTCGAAATTCAAAAAAAGCATATTGGCAATGTAATGGTGGCAGCTAATTAATTAGCAGTAAGGTTAGCAGTTAATTCTTGCGCTTACAATATTTTGATATGAATTTTATAGAGTGGAGTTTTTGCTCTCAAAGTGATTTCTTTCTGTTATGTTGCTTGTGCCATCTGATTTCTTGAAATTCCACCATTTTTATTGCAGTACCAGAAAGTCCGTCAGACATTAAGTCACTTCCTGTAAATAGTAGCAGTATATTGGTTGCCTGGCAACTACCAGAACATCCCAACGGAGAAATAACAGAATTTACACTTTATGTTCTTAATAACACAGCAGATAGTAAGGTAAATGAAATGAATGGAGTTTTACGTCCTACTTTTCTGTTCCTAAAGGGCAAATGAAGACGGGTAACGCCATGCAGTGTGTAATGAGGAAAATTTGCCAGGACAGTGACATTAGCTTGCTTTTTCAATTTCCTACTGTGGAGGGATGTTTAACGAGCACAGCCTGTAGGGCCTCGGTGTATTGTCCCATCGGAACTACTAGACTATTTTTCCATGAAGGTCAAGCCTGCATATATATAACCAGGAAAAGATCATTGCTGCAAACATGTGTTTTAGAAAAACAATCCTCATCAGGACAGTTTAGATGATTGGTCTAGGATCAAATGGTAGAAGATCGCACATCGTATTTTGTAAACTTTTTGTCTTTTTTTGGGGTAATTTTCTCTGTATTTTTTTTAAATGAAATATGTTTTCTTTCTTCTTACAGAATCTAGAAGATAAAGTAAAGCTACCAGCAGACACATCATCTTATCTTGTCTCCAATCTACAAGTGGGACATCAATATGGTTTCCGTATTACAGCTAGTACCATGATAGGGGAGGGAAAACCAACAGCCTTAATATTGGCTTCTCCACAGGAAAACGGTAAGTGATGTTCTACCATTTTGATTAAGAACCTTTCCTAGCAAACAGATTTTAACTCATTTTAGCATGAATTGTTACTTAAACCTTAAAGCTGTGCTTTTATGATCTCTCCACCATCTAAGACTAGAAAGGACTTATGTCTTAAAATATTAGTTGTGTTGTGATCTTAGTAGTAATTATTTTCTTCTTTTTATTGCAGTGCCAGCTCGAATTGCCAGTTTTTCTACCAAGTTGATCGTACCATGGCATGAAAGTATTACCTTTCCATGTTTAGCTGTAGGAGATCCTGAACCTTCTGTTGAATGGAAACTCAGGTAGGTTCTGGCCCTTGGGCAACAAACCTTCTTTCAAATTTGAATCAGCTATTACAGGTGAAAAATCAAAGAATAAAATATATCAATCTATTCCTTAGTACACAATGTTTCTAGCATTATCACATTAATCTTCAAATTTTACCTTTTCTTGATGGGAGGGACATTATAAATTTGAGTCAAAACTCAGCTGAGCATTAGAAATATTTTGTGGCACTGGAGCCCGATTATTGGCCATTAGTTCCTGTGATATCATTGAAAACGTTCCATTGATGAGTTCTGCACGTTCAGGATTCATAGAATCAACAGGAAGTTCAATAAAACAAGTTGTATGAGAGTTCAGATGCGTTCTAACTGTGTCGAAACAGTGAGTGTGAACAGAATACTTCAACAACAGGAACAGAAAGATATATATATATTTTAAATGTTGATAGAGTGTATCAGAGTTTAAACCTCATTGCTCACTGCTGCAAGCTAAATGTCTATCACTATGGACTTATCCTCCCAATCAAATTTTTGGATAAAGGAATACATAGATATTAAGATTCTTATTGGGTTGTTTTGTTTCCTCATTTCAGAGGTCACACCCTCAAACAGAGTGAGCGAGTCAAAGTTTTGGAAAATGGTTCGTTATATTTTGATGACGTCATCGGTACGGATGCCGCCAATTATTCCTGCCACGCTAAAAATAAACATGGATTTGATGACATCACATATATCCTGCAAGTTCAAGGTATGTGTTCTTTGCACTCAATTTAAAAATTTTACAGGTGCCCTCATACCATAGCTATTACCAGTTGTATATGGTTGTGAATAATGAAAGTGGTCACGAGTTCTAAATACAACTCACAACTTAGTTGGGATATTTTTATTAGCAACCATACTCAACTGGTGATTGCTATGGTGTGAGGGCCTCTTAAGAGAAGAACAATCTAAGAGTTGTTTTTAAATCTGCTAATTTGTACTAAAAATATCTAATGCTATAATGTTTTGGCATGAAGCTTGTATTAGATGTAATTCATAATGTCCAAAAAATCTGATGAAGATTTTAACTAATGACATCCCACTAATTGATTTAATTAATTAATCTTAATTTAGTTGGTGACCATACTGGAAGTAAGTATTGTGAATCTTGTTTTTTGTCTCCATAGAAATGTCAGCATCCCAACATTGTTGCATTTTTCATATCATATTTTGTAATGTCAGCATCCCACCATTTTAACCTTTTGTAATGTCAATTTCAATTTGTTTTTGTAATGTCAGCATCCATCTTTGTCATATTTTGTATGTCAATAAATTACAATTTGTATTTGTAATGTCAAAATCCCACCATTTTAACCTTTTGTAATGTCAATTGCAATTTGTAATTGTAATGTCAGCATCCCACCATTTTAACCTTTTGTTATGTCAATTTGTATTTATAATTGTAATGTCAGCATCCATCATTGTCATATTTTGTAATGTCAATCAATTACAATTTGTATTTGTAATGTCGGCATCCCACCATTTTAATGTCAATTGCAATTTGTATTTGTAATCAGCATCTAACATTATCAATTATCAATGTGAATGTTCATTTATGATTTTGTGAAGTCAGTCATTTTGTTTTATTGTAATATCAGTTTGTATTTGATTTTACTGGTCCCAGTGTGATGTTGATGTATTTTTCTAATGTGTTTGATTTGATGTATAAATATCTATTTTGCTATGTCAACCGGTTTGGTTTGACTCCCATTTTTCTTGTAAATAGTGAAAGTGAATAGTTTTGCCTTTTGTGTCAATCAATTTGTGATGGCTTGAATTTTTCATGTCAATCAGATCGTTTCTTTATTACAGATTGTTTCTTTACTACAGATCGTTTCTGTACTACAGATCGTTTCTGTACTACAGATCGTTTCTTTACTACAGATTGTTTACTACAGATCGTTTCTTTACTACAGATTGTTTACTACAGATCGTTTCTTTACTACAGATCGTTTCTTTACTACAGATCGTTTACTACAGATTGTTTACTACAGATCGTTTACTACAGATTGTTTACTACAGATTGTTTACTACAGATCGTTTCTTTACTACAGATTGTTTACTACAGATTGTTTACTACAGATCGTTTACTACAGATTGTTTACTACAGATTGTTTACTACAGATCGTTTCTTTACTACAGATTGTTTACTACAGATTGTTTACTACAGATCGTTTACTACAGATTGTTTACTACAGATTGTTTACTACAGATTGTTTACTACAGATCGTCTTACTACAGATTGTTTACTACAGATCGTTTACTACAGATCGTTTCTGTACTACAGATTGTTTACTACAGATCGTTTACTACAGATCGTTTCTTTACTACAGATCGTCTCCTATTGTAGTGTATCTGTCAATCATTTTGTAATGTCAATGCCACATATACATATACATCATGATCATGCCAGTTTACAATTTTTAGTGTTTGTTTGCTCGTTTCACCATCTGTCCCTATTTCTATCTCACAAAGTTAAAACATGTTATATAGATCATAATATATTGACATAGAGTCTAGTTGATTTCAATTCTGATTTCTTTAATTAGTTCCTTGAAATCTTTGTGGTTAAGACAAGTTACTTCTATTCCTCGTCTTTCCTATTTCTAAATGTTTTGATGAAACACCATTTCAAGGCTGTGTTTTCTTTCAATGGATTTAATATATAGGGTTTTGAAGATAAAAAAGTTAAGACGAGATCAGTACTGATTTAGTTGAGTTTGTTTAAAACAACAGTGATGTTAATAATTGAAGATCTCTAACACAATAATGATTTATAGTTGAAGATAACTTGGTTAATAATATAAGTATGATTTGTGATCATTTAGATGGGTTTTGTAAAATTTTTGATTTGTATTTCAGCTCCGCCGCAGCCTGCTAGACTGTATTTAGCCTTGACAACATCATCTACCATTCAAGTCAATTGGTTGTCAGGCAGTAATGGTGGCAGCCCCATACAAGGTATTTCATTTTTTTTGTCTTTTTAATTGAAGAACAACGAAAAATTTCAAAATTTTGTGTAAAAAGGATAGTAAAAAGGACCAAAATCTTCCATTTTTTTTTTGCAATTTGTTACTATGGTGAAATTGTTTAATACAAATCAAGAGCCAGGGTGGCTCATCAAAGTTTTGTTCCTATCATAGATCTAGATGGTTTTGTGTGCTATTATAAACTGTGCTTGGTAAAGACCCCTTGACAGTTGAAAATCAATTGTGCATTCCTGATAAAACTTCCATCATTTCACACTGCATGAAGCTGGAATGTACATTATCTATATCTACAATTACAACAGGTAACCTTTCAACCGACAATTTTTTATCCAGCTTGTTATACTGTACCAATATTTCAGGGTTTGTGTTGAATTATAAAAAAGAACATGGTTCGTGGCAAGATATCAGACTAGGACCACAGAATAGAACATATATTGCAGCTAACTTACTATGTGGTACATTGTATAAATTCAATATCCGGGCGTTCAATAGACTAGGTGATTCTCTAGACAGTGATATCGTTACTGCTAAAACTAACGGATCAGGTAAGATCTCGATCATCTTCACAATGGTCAAGCCATTACGAACTTTGTCATATACCTTGACTACAATAACTACTTTTCTTGTATCATGGAATGTAGCAATTTGATTGGATTGTATGCTAGCGAATAGAACAAAAGTCCTGGACAGAAGATAATAAACAATTCAGTCCAGTTTTTACTCTTCAAGCACTAAATGCAAATAAAAGCAGTCTTTTTGGCCCTGTAGATATTGTATCTAATGGCGTTTGCCATTGAGTAGAACGCTATAGAAAATAGCTGCTATATAAATGGTTGTATGCATTATTATTAAAGGAGACCACCCCTTTTTATTTCCAGCAATACAGACATTTCTTCTTGAATGGTAAAAAACTCTTACCGTTTCCTTAACACAAATTAAATAAGACTTTATTTGAATATTTCAGTTCCCATCATGCCTCCACAGAGCATGTTGGTTAAGGAAGTCAATGCTACGTCGGTCATACTTGACCTTCGAACCTGGCGGACATCTGGCTGTCCAATCAGATTCTTCTCTGTAAAATATCAAGTGTTTGGTGATAATATATGGACGTTTGTGTCCAATTCTATGAGATATAACACAGTAAGTAGAAACCAGAAAACATTTTTTATAAAGATTAAAACTTAATACACCACACCAAACTGAAATGAAATTAATGGAGTTTTTTTTCTACTTTCCTGTACCATTTCTATTGATAGAAACAGATGCCTGTGATTCACAACTGGGTTTTCTGAGTGAGCTGTCGACATTTTTGGGCTTCATATACTTTCCATGGAGCATTTAAAACAATATTTGTTTCAATTTGCTATAGTATGTAATTTTTTGCCCTTTTTCAGACCTTGTTTACTGTACAAGATCTGCATCCAGCAACATGGTATAAAATGGTAGTCACAGCTCACAGTGATGCTGGTTCTTCCGAATCAAAACTTACTTTTGCAACACTTACCTATACTGGCAGTAAGTTCATCTCTTCAGTTGATATAATATTGTCATTATCTAGCTTTGTCAAACAATTTCCTAATAAAATACAGTATAAATTCATCAGTGGACTTACCTAGTGTCATAAATAAACAACAGAATCCTTGTATAATCAATAATGTTATGAGATCAGGTAAGTCCACTGATGAATTTATACTCTTATTGACTAAAATTAGGAATTTAAATGTTCTTTTTAAGAGGTACTCTTTCTTTATGAAAGATGATTTAATTTGATCAACACTCTATGAAATCCAGGACAAAGTTCATTATGACATGGCATCTGTTTCAGGTACTATTCTACCTATACAAGTTATTCATAAAGAGGAGAGTGAATTCTATGAGAAAATTACCATCATGGTGCCACTGTGTGCTGGCCTGGTTAGTTTATCTGTTGCTATTGTGGGATCCATACTCTTCTGTCGTAGAAGGAGAGAAAGGCTTCGGTACAAAGGTAAGTGTTTGTATATAATAATTCCTTTTGGAAACGTTACTTGCTTTTACTTTGTGTAGTACTTCTTCTAGACACCTGATATAACTTTTCATAATGAAATACTTACTCGCTTATGGTTGATATACTTCCTCTTGTGAAAGTTCATTAGCTGCTACCAATGTTTTGCCAAAATGTTGTTTTGGATTTCGGGTTTCATTTTACAGTTCGGATCATTAGTATTTGTTTTATTCATTCTTTTTTATTTCAGAGCATGCTTCGAACCTGCGTAGAGATATCACAGCAGAAACATCGTTGATGAATGACCTTGACAAAAGGTTAAATGTTGACCTTGATAGTAGTACGAGTACGCTACCTGAGTTTAGTAAACGGAACGTGAATCTGTTAATCTCGCTCCATTCTGATGATAATATCAATGGTAACAGTCAGTCATGGTTGATAGACAGTAGCAAGACAAACAGCGAGAACGGTTCTTTCTCTAGATCGGGTATGTTGATTATGTTGTTTTTATGTCAACGTTGCATGGATAGCCAACTTTCCTGCATCACAGAATGCAGCAATTTGATTGGATTATATGCCAGCAAATACAGCCAATCAGAGCTCTCAACATCTTATCACATCTTATATGATATAAGCTGATTTTGCGATAGTGACTTCATATTGTTTCAGTGGAATTGCAAGAGCCACAGACATCTAATTAAAAATTGAAAGGTGCAAATTGAGGATATCAGTGTCCCTGATACACGTAAAATACTTGGAAAAACCTATTTACTGCTTTTACCCAGAAAACAGCCACCTTACTTCCAAATTTTTATTTAATCTATATTTTTCTCCCCATGCTTTGTTACTGTCAGAAGATGAAGGAAATATTAACCCATATGCTACATTTAACGAACTGAAAGCTGTGGTCAATACTGGTAAACGTGTAGAAATGATGCAGAAATCTTCAGAATCAGAGGATGAAATAGCCCTACAGAAAGCAGCCAATCAAAGAGAGGTATATCAAATTCAAATTTTTGAATATTTTCTACTTGCATATATAGTTGAACTCATTCATGCTCGCTTATTTTTTTCAGGAGACAAAATTTTCTGTTGTCAAAAAGCATTAAAACTTCTGTGATCCAATGACAATTTTCATTAAATCTTAAAATGTTATTCTATTTCAGGGATTAATGGCTACCCCTTGTGAACCCTATGTACCATTTTTCCACTCTAAGGGTGCAACTGGTACAGTCCCACGTAAACCTCCACCCCTACCAAAAACCAGACCCCCTAGAAGAACGAGACATGAGGAAGTGAAGAAAGAGGGTTATGACAATCATGGTAAGTGATACATTGTTGTTTGCCTGCAGTCTCAGAATAATCCAGCTATTACGAACTTCGTCTTATACCTTGACTGCAATAGCTACCTTTCTTGTATCGCAAAAGTTTTTAAATGCAGAGATTTAATTGGATGTTTGTTAGCCAAAACGGCCAATTAAGGTCTCCGACTGAAATTCTGTAAACAATAAACCATAATATTTATAACCTTTCTGTCCAGAGCTCTGGTTATATTCACTGGCGTACGATCTAATCAAATTGCTGCATTTATATACATCTTATCGAATTCCAGGCCATGTTTGTGAAGGTCTTTGTTCTTGTTAGTCATATAATTGTAATAAATTGAATGTGTCTGATTACAGGGGTCCTGCTGAGTCCCAGGAAGTATGCCAGTGCTGATCAGATTCATGCTCTGTTTACCCAGGCTCCACCTAGACCTCCCAGTTGTCATAAATCAGGATCGGGATCTAGTGACAAAGGTATGAAACAGGTCTATTTGATTGCACAAGCTATATGCACCATCACAGCGCCTATTGATTGTTTGTTTTCCATTTTTCTGTACCATTGTTAGCAGCCAATGGGAGAGCTTCATTTGTGTTGTCCATGGGCATTAGATTGTTTCCCTGTCTCCGCGCTTGTTTTTTTTTCTCGAGCATGAAGCCATTTTGATTTTCAATGAGTTTTAAGTGACTTTTTTGGGGTAGGTAGGGATGATTAAAGCTGAGACTGATAGACAAAATCTTCCAGAATCTAAAACTTTAACAAATGGACATAACTGAACTTTTTTCTGGATAAATTCTCAAATTTTATTTTCAACTTTCAGGAAGTCAGAGGCACAGTTTGATATCTAGCGTAACCACAGTATCGTCAAGCAGAGATGAATTACTTGAAGCTTTGGAGAACGCTAAAAAGAACCCACCACCACCAGTTTTATTTGAGAGTCAGAATGATGATTCTTCCCAACCTACCGACAGTTCCATTGCCACTGAACCTGGTATTCGGGAATTCACTCAATCTCCTCCAAAACCAAACGAACAAAGAGAGGCTTCTTGTGAAGTTCCGTCATATGAACAGCGTAAGTTGCTCTTGTTGTTTACTCTAGACACCTAATACCACTTTTTATTATGAAATACTTAGTCACACTTAATAATATTAGATGCTACCAATGTTTTGCCAATAAGTTATTTGGATTTTGGGTTTCAATTTCCAGTTCTGATCGTTGTTAATACTTGGTTTATTTATTTTATATCTGGCAACACAAATGTTGGTTTCTGCAATTACTGGTAAATGAAAGATTAATTTGAAACGATATTGAGACTTATTAAATGAAAATGAGTGAATATTCTTGGTATCATTATTTCAGAAAAAAGACGAAGGCAGCATCGAAAAGAAATGGAGAGTGACACAACTGAATGTGAAGGGGGAGAACTCCAGGATCATTCCCCGCCCAGACGTACCATCCGTGGCAGACGGAACAAACAAAAACCACAAATTATTAGTAAACGATCTCTTGGTACCACTTTTATCCCGAGGTAAGGCTCCTTTTTTATCAAATTTGGGCACAACAGTTTGTGAGATTATATGATTCTTTCAGAAAAAAATATCCTTAATGTGTAGGAATCAATGCAGAAGGTACATTTCTAGTAACAAGTGATAGACCTGCATGTACTTTATCGGGCCAATAAGTCCAGAAGAACCCCGATAATTTATGAACACAAATTTGGTTGCTGTAACTTAAATGTATTCATCGAAAATTATTCCAGAGCTCACAGTAGAACCAGTACTACTAGTAGTGAAGAGGTCACTTATACATTCGGTGGGAGGGAATCCCCTCGGTCTAACAGTCCATCAGAAGGGTACTTACCCTACCCTAGAGACGGGTATGGCTACCCAGAAACAGACGTTGTGACTCGAACACGGCGAGATAACAAATCAAGTAAGTACTGAATTTTTTGGTGAAATATATGTATTGTAACTTAGGCCTACTTATGATTGGTTGTTTTTTGGCCCCCAAGAATTTTTTTCGTGATTATCAATGTCATGAATGATTTGATACAAGTAAAATGAAATCATGTGGATGCCATTTTAATATTTCTGTGAAATTTGCAGGAGGGAGGGGAACAGGAAGAGGAACTCCCCATGGTAAACGAAGATATGATGTGAGTATTCAGACTCCAGGTACAGATGAGAACAAACCACTAGTCATGGCTCTAGCTCAGCCTGCTTTAACCAGTCCTGCTGAAGAGGATGAACATGTTAGTCTACTAGACAGGTATGATAAATATTTCTAACTTACACTTAGGATTGAAAAGAGGTTTTGTAAACTTTTTATGTGTATCAGGGACACTGATAGCATCAATATACACCATTCAGAGAATCAGTCAGTTGTCTGTAGTCCTGCAAAAACTGGACATTTTATGACGTCACTGTCATAGTTATTGTTATTATTGTCATTATTGATATTATTATCATTATTGATATTATTATCATTATTGATATTATTATCATTATTGATATTATTATCATTATTGATATTATTGTTATTGATATTATTATTGTTATTATCATTATTGTTATTATCATTATTGTTATTACCATTATTGTTATTACCATTATTGTATCATTATTGATATTATATTTATCTTTATTAATATTATTATTACGCTCATTATTGATATTATGTTATTATTATCATGATATTATTATTGATATTACTATCATTATTGTTATTATCATTATCATTATAGATATTATTTTTATCATTATTGATATTATTGATATTATCATTATTGATGTTATGATCATTATTGATATTATTATCATTATTGATATTATTTTTATCATTATAGATATTATGATCATTATCGATGCTATGATAATTATTATTATTATTATTATTAATATTATTATTATCATTGATATTATCATTATTGATATTATTTTTAATCATTATTAATATTATTATTATCATTATTGATATTATCATTTTTGTATTCTTTATTGTTTTTATTTTTTATCATTATTGATATTATTTATATCATTATTGATATTATTTTTAATCATTATTGATATTATTTTTAATCATTATTGATATTTATTTTTATCATTATTGATGTTATGATTATCATTATTGATATTATTATTATCATTATTGATGGTTATGATCATTATTGATATTATTATGATCATTATTGATATTATTATGATCATTATTGATGTTATGATCATTATTGATATTATTATTACGATCATTATTGATATTATTAATATTATTATTACGATCATTATTGATATTATTATTACGATCATTATTGATATTATTATTGGTATTATTTTTATTGTATCATTATTGATATTATTATTATTTTTATTGTATCATTATTGATATTATCATTATTGATATTATCATTATTGATATTATTATTATCGTTATTGTATCATTTTTGATATTATGATCATTATTGATATTATTGGTATTATTTTTATTGTATCATTGATATTATTGATATTATTATCATTATTGATATTATTGGTATTATTTTTATTGTATCATTGATATTATTGATATTATTATCATTATTGATATAATTGGTATTATTTTTATTGTATCATTGATATTATTGATATTATTATCATTATTGATATTATTGGTATTATTTTTATTGTATCATTGATATTATTATGATCATTATTGATGTTATTATGATTATTATTGATATTATTTTGATCATTATTGATGTTATTATGATCATTATTGATGTTATGATCATTATTGATGTTTTGATTATTATTATTATCATTATAGAAATTATTATTTTGATCATTATTGAGATTTTGATTATCATTATTGATGTTATGATTATCATTATTGA